ACAGAAAACCATTTTTGGTTGGATCCTTTCCGGTCCGTCTGGTTCTTTAAATGATAATTCTAGCGAAGCCATCGGTTTTCATTGTTCCGCCGACCAAGATTTGCACAATTTACTATCTAGATTTTGGACACAGGAGGATCTACCTTCTTCTATCAGTGCTTCACTAAGCCCAGACGAAGTGGATTGTGAAAATCATTTTTTATCTACACACACACGTAACCCGTCAGGTCGCTTTATTGTTCGGCTTCCTTTAAAATCACCTTCTAGTTTACTGGGAGATTCGAGGGAGTCCGCCCTCCGTTGTCTATGGAGAATCACGAAGCGTCTTTCCTCTGATTTACCATATAAACGCCTGTATGAAAATTTTATTCAAAAATATCGAGCGCTTGGTCACATGGTAGAAGCAACTCTTCCTGATAATTCTGACAAAATTTATTATTTGCCACATCATGGGATTCTCAAAAAAGAAGGGGATAATTCGAAGATCCGAGTCGTCTTTAATGGCTCTAGTCGCACGAGCAGTGGAGTTTCTCTAAACGAGATTCTACATTCAGGCGCGAAGCTTCAGACGGATATTGCTGACGTTCTGTTGTGGCTCCGCATACATCGGTATCTTTTTTCTGCCGATATAGAAAAAATGTTTCGACAAATAGCGGTCCATCCGGAAGACTGGAACTATCAGAGGATTATTTGGCTCGGACCGGATCATCAACCTATTGACTTCTGCTTGACCACGGTTACATACGGACTTTCGTGTGCACCCTTTCTCGCTTTACGTTGCTTACAACAACTTGTCCACGATGATGGTCCGAAATTTCCAAAGGCGATACTTCCTATGACTAAAGGTCGTTATGTAGACGATATATTCGGTGGGGCAGACACTATCGATGAAGCAAAGGAGATTGCTCATCAAGTCAACGAGTTGTGTAAATTGGGAGAGTTTCCTCTTCGAAAATGGAGTGGAAATCGACCAGAGTTGTTACCTTGTACTCTAACTTCCGACTCTAATAATTCTTCTGTGGTTGATATCAATTTGTCACCGGTCAAGGTCTTGGGTCTCGTGTGGAAGCCGGAATCAGATATTTTCATTTTTCATGGGCAGCCTTTACATACGGACAAATTATCGAAGAGGATTATTTTATCAGACCTTTCCAAGGTATACGATCCTCTGGGTCTCGTGGCACCGATAATAATTAGAGGGAAAATTATCATGCAGGAACTCTGGTTGCTGAAATCCGGTTGGGATGACGCTCTTCCTTCGGATATACAACAGCGATGGTTCAGTTTTCGGCGAGATTTAACGGACCTTGAACAGCTGACGATACCGAGATGGCTTGGACCAATTCAGTCAAGTTCATTGGTAGAAATCCACGGATTCTCTGACGCCTCCAATCTAGCGATGGCCGCAGCGGTGTTTATACGAATAAATACTGCGGGCAATGAATACCTTGTACGCTTAATATGTGCAAAGACTAAAGTGGCACCTCTCAAGCGAATTACAATCCCACGATTGGAGTTGAGCGCGGCTTTGTTATTGGCTCGTCTCGTCGTTCATGTTCAAAACACTCTTGATTTGTTGAAAGCTCCGTTATTTTTATGGACTGACTCTTCCGTAGCACTCACTTGGCTCACTACCCACCCATCTAGATGGAAAGATTTCGTTAGAAACCGAGTATACGCAATTCAAGAGCTATTGCCGAACAGCTCGTGGCATTTTATTTCCGGTAAAGAAAACCCGGCGGATTGTGCATCTCGTGGACTGCGCCCAAGTCAATTAGCCGATCATAAGCTTTGGTGGAATGGACCCGAATGGCTGCGTGGCCCATCCACTACATGGCCCAATGCTGCTGCCTTCTCTTCTCCGGATGCCGATAACGAAATGCGTTCAAATCAGGCCACTATTGCCGTAGTACAACCGGCTTCGTATTGGGATCTTCTCGATAAATATTCCTCACTAATCAAACTTTTAAGGATCACTGCTCTTTGTCGTAGGTTTATTTCCCGAGTAAGTAAAACAGCAAACGTATCGATAGCTGCACCATTAACTCCTGAAGAAATCTGCCAAGCTCGTTTATTTTGGTCTAAGGTTGTTCAGCATTCATGGTTCCCAAACGAAATTCGAATTCTTACACGGGGAGAAGTTTTGCCTCGTTCGAATGCGTTGGTGCGGCTCATCCCCTTTATTGACCGAGAAGGCATATTGAGAGTCGGTGGGCGTCTACATCACGCTAAGATTGACGTAGAATCCAAACATCCCATAATTCTACCACGACGGTCTCCTCTAACTTCTCTTGTAATCAAGGATGCTCATTCTCGCACTCTTCACGGAGGTACACAGGTCACTCTGGGTTTTATTAGGCAAACG